TGTGTCGCTAAAGTTTCGTCGGAACGAAGTTACGGAAAGTTAATTAACAAACGGAGACGTAACAATACTAAATTGAGCGACACACGATAAAAGTCGATACGCGCTGAAAATTATACAAGGATTTGATGGTATTAGCATGTTTAATTAGTCGTTTCTGGTAAGGTGATAAGCAATATCAGTTCTTCTAGCATGTAAAAACTTTGGTTTCCTTCACTTTCGATACGTGATGTAAGATATTGTTACTTTCTCTTGATAATTAACTGTCTTACTTTTAGAATCTTAAACAACCACTTCTTCTTCTTCTTTTGCTGTTTATTTTTTAAAGAAACACAGCTACATATATATGAATATATGTGTGTGTATATATAGAGGCCTATACATCAATGAAAACATATACACACAAACATGTCTATGCACTTACATAATCATATATACATACATACATACAAGACGAGTGGAGAGCCTTAACAAGATTTACATTTCACTAGACGAGACGGGAGAAGAGCCTTACCAAGATCTACATTTCACTAGACAAGACGTAGCGAGGGACTTAACAAGAGCTACATTTCACTAGACAAGACGTAGCGAGGGCCTTAACTAGCTCTACATTTCACTAGACAAGACGTAGCGAGGGCCTTAACAAGATCTACATTTCACTGGACAAGATGAGAGGAGAGCCTTAACTAGATCTACATTTCACTAGACAGAGCGAGAGGAGAGCTTTAACAAAATCTACATTTCACTAGACAAGACGTAGCGAGGGACTTAACAAGAGCTACAGTTCACTGGACAAGACGTAGCGAGGGACTTAACAAGAGCTACAGTTCACTAGACAAGACGTAGCGAGGGCCTTAACAAGATCTACATTTCACTAGACAAGACGTAGTGAGGGCCTTAACAAGAGCTACAGTTTGCTAGACAAGACGTAGCGAGGGACTTAACAAGATCTACATTTCACAAGACAAGATGAGAGGAGAGCCTTAACAAGATCTACATTTCACTAGACAAGACGAAGCAAGGGAACAATAAGTACATTTATCTAGACAAGGCGAGATGAGGGCCTTAACAAGAGCTACAGTTTGCTAGACAAGACGTAGCGAGGGACTTAACAAGATCTACATTTCACAAGACAAGATGAGAGGAGAGCCTTAACAAGATCTACATTTCACAAGACAAGATGAGAGGAGAGCCTTAACAAGATCTACATTTCACTAGACAAGACGAAGCAAGGGAACAATAAGTACATTTATCTAGACAAGGCGAGATGAGGGCCTTAACAAGAGCTACGTCTTGATAGACAAGAAGAAAGGATTTTAACAAGAGCTACATTTCTCTACACAAGAAAAGAGGAGGGCCTTAACCAGAGCTACATTTTGCTAGACAAGAGTTCCTTACGATGTTACTCTGTCCTTGCAGCTAAGTTAAGCCTAATTAAATTAATCCAACAAAAAAATGGATATGAAAGAAGCTTACAGTAACACAAGAATTTTAACTTTCAGAAAAGTGATTTGTTTTTAAAACTAAAACAGAATTTAGTTACATGTCACATTGCGGTTAAATCTGCTTGTAAAAATTAATCAATTCATCTTATATAACAACTGACTCCTGAAGTTTTTAATTCAAGTTTCACGTTACATAGGAGCTAATCAAAATTATATTATAATAAAAGCTTCCAGATATAAAAGATCGCTTAGATAATTTTTTTTCAAACATATGTTAGAGTTACTTAACTATTTCTCTTAATGATATAACAATTCCACGCTCTTCTTCTCAATCTTATTATAAACAGCATGTTAAGTATTGGTAGTAGGATCTTTTAAGATCATCTTACTTATTTATTAATGATATTTATACCTATTTTAGATGACAGAAGAGGGCGTTTAGGGGAAATGCTAATCCTTCCCTTCCAGGCACTCTATACTTTGTACTTAGAAGTGTAAAGTTTTAACTCTTTTTAAGTAATTAGTTTCATTAAAAAGCGAAACTAGTTTATTTTATTTTTAAATCAAGTCCGCTTAATCGATATCCAACAAATACGTTTTACATACTTGAATTTTCTTTCACTTCAAAAATAAGTTTACTTCGGGTTGATTAAAATATACACGTACGAGATCATGTAAATAACTTGCCGCTGATGATATTTGAACACATTACTCTACGCTCCTTTTTAGGGGGGGGGGGGATTCATCAATCATGCGTGGTCCATTATTAAACAGTAGATTAATTTATATTTCTGAAAGTTTGTTTGTTTGTTATGAATTTCGTGCAAAGCTACACGAGGACTATCTGCGCTAGCCGTCCCCAATTTAGCAGTGTAAGACTAGAGAGAAGGCAGCTAGTCATCACCACCCACCGCCAACTCTTGGGCTACTCTTTTACCAACGAATAGTGGGATTGACCGTCACACTATAACGCCCCCATGGCTGAAAGGGCGAGCAGGTTTGGTGTGACAGGGATTCGAACCCGCGGCCCGCAGATTGCAAGTCGAGCGCCCTACACTAACCACCTAGCCATGCCATGCCATTTCTTAAAGACACCAGGAAAAGATACTTTGTTTTCTTTTTCATGTTTGAATAGATCTAGGACTGATTAATACCATTGTCGTTCTTTTTGCATTGGTATCGTTTCATTATTAACTTGTTCTCACGGATGGAAACAGTTCTAAACAAAATTATATGTAAACGGTATTAAAGTGGTAGTATAGAAGAACAACATATCAATATTTAAAAAATAATTATTTTTTTTGACGGTATATGCTACACTAGTTTTACCGTTATAATTTTTAGAGAAGTAAAGTTTATTTTTTAACAGCGTTATTCCAGATTATATCATCATAGTTCATTTCACCGTCAATATCCTAACATAACTAACTTGTAAGTGTACAGATTTTAAATCGAATTAAACTACGAAATAATAATGAAAGAAAAACAAATTCTGTAATAAATATACCTATATTGTTTCTTATTCAATACGTAAGCTTGTCGCCGCCTTTTTACGGTACATATTGTTTTTCAACTTAGTGCTTAAATTCGTCACCATCTTCTATGGTACATATTATATCATAATTCAGTGTCTACATTCGTCACCATCTTCTATGGTACACATTGTTTCTCAATTCAGTGTCTACATTTGTCACCATCTTCTGTGGTACATATTATTTCTTAATTCAGTGTCTACATTCGTCACCATCTTCTATGGTACACATTGTTTCTCAATTCAGTGTCTACATTCGTCACCATCTTCTATGGTACACATTGTTTCTCATTCAGTGCTTAAATTCGTCACCATCTTCTATGGTACATGTTATTTCTTAATTCAGTGTCTACATTCGTCACCATCTTCTATGGTACACATTGTTTCTCATTCAGTGCTTAAATTCGTCACCATCTTCTATGGTACATATCATGTAATAATTTCTACTAGAAGAGTCGCTAAAAATACACCATAACAGTAACTAATAATAATGAATAGTCTTAACTATAAGTAACAAACAAACTGTAAAATACTTCTATGATCACTCTGTCCTAAAACCATCAGCTGGGTACCATCGTTGTTAGTGCTGTTTTTCATTCATTATTTAGATTCGTCACCTACTTCTACGGTACATACTGTTCTTCGTTCAGTGCTTACGTTCGTTAAAATATTCTATGGTATACATATTGAGATTCGAGATGTAAAATTCATATTTTAGTTTTCGAATATGTTTCACGATAATTTTCCTTTACTATTTCATCCCTGCTGGAAACAAGTAATTATACATTGTGTAGAGTGGAGTAATACTTAAGGAATTCTCATACCTCATTTTGAAATGTTTCACAAGACGGACAGTATCACGTACCTACTTAACAACTGTTGACAATTTTCATCTTATTTGAAATATTTTATATTCTTGGATATTTTTATAAAACAACAAACTAAAACAAAGTCGTACAAATATGAATGCACAAAATCAAGAGCTATAATATTAAAGTTCTTGTGTAGAAAGCTAGACTACACTACAAGTGTAGGATACTTTACGTATGGAGACGATTTCACTATCGTTGTCATGTTTAGTAGCTGGACCGTTTCGGCTCCTAATCTACTGCCGTTTTCAGGGAAGTTCTGAGAAGTACTGATTCTAACGTTTGCCTATAATTAAGGGCTCTAGTAATTCTTTTTCTAATGAATAGTTACAACGTAGTACCATATTTTAACCCACAGCAAAAGCGTGTCTACCGAAGTGGCATGGGGGCAGACCCCCCCCCCCATTGCAGAGCTCTGCACCCCAGCTGCCCTTCCATCTGAGATATTAAGATTTAGTCTTTTAAGATTTTAAATTTTTTTTCCACATTTTGCCTCTCGCTGACTTGAAACTGTTAATTATTTTGGGTCAAATGTGGTAGTAATACTTTGAACTTAAACCGAAAGAAGTATCTTTAATCATATATCTAGGGTTGGGTTAAATGGTAATTTGAAACACCATCTGACCACCTGGAAGCCATGTAAAGAGAGCCTGGGGTAAATTCGGCTTACCTGATAGTTAAAAAGAACAAATAGATACTCCTCAAAGGAAGAAAAAACATATCTATTTTGTATTTAATAATACTTAACCCCCCTTTGATACATCCCACTTCGCCCTCAAATAAGTTTGTCCCATTCTGACCCGAAATAAACAATCTTATAAACGCCACTAAACCATAGCAAAACAAGAGGGAACCCTCAATAGCCGCGACACTTGATATTCTTTGAGGCAGGATTAGAGTAAATTAATCTATGAGACCTTTTATCACTTTTTATTAGCTATATTTTTGTGTACCAGCAATACCAAGAGTGGGTCGCGCGTATACCGATTCGATTTTAATACTCATCAGGATCTCTACCAGCCTATCCTCAAATAAAAATTCTTTTAGGCAGGATTAGAATAAATTAATCTATGAGACCTTGGGCGTCGTTAAATACATCAATCGAAAAGGTTTGACCTCCTGAGTCCAAAACAGTAATTAGATCTCAAATCGGTCAAGAGAGCTATTCAATGAGTCGCTATGCCGTGATTAAAAGGAGGAAAATACATATATATATATATATATATATACAGTGAAAGAATTTCTCATCGGGAAATGACGCACACGTGTTTTATAAAAACATTGCCATTTCTTTGACCTGCAACATTCTGTACGATGAAGAAGACATTGGTGTTCGTTTGTCCTGCAATATTATATCTGATCAAGAAAACATTAGACATTGGTATTCGTTTGTCCTACAATATTCTGTCAGATCAAGAAGACATAATACATTCCTATTTGTTCGTCACACAATATTCTGTCTGATAAAGAAAACACCATGCATTGGTGTTCGTTTGTTCTGCAATATTCTATCTGATCAAGAACACATTGGTGTTCGTTTGTTCTGCAATATTCTGTCTAATTAAGAACACATTGGTGTTCGTTTGTTCTGCAATATTCTGTCTAATTAAGAACACATTGGTGTTCGTTTGTTCTGCAATATTCTATCTGATCAAGAACACATTGGTGTTCGTTTGTCCTGCAATATTCTATTTGAAAGAAGTGAAAAATCCCTATTCAGAATTACACACTCATGAATATAATGCTTTTATTTTTTGATTCTTTAGGTTCACTAATTCACCTTCTGGTTATGGACAAACCGAACAAACTACTAGCTGACCTGCTGATCCCGGTTCAAGTCTTGGCCGACAAGTGTAGAGGAAACGACGAAGTTCCTTCTATTTGGGTAAGGAAAATAAAATGGAAATAAATGAGAAAAGTAAAAAGGCTAGTTTTTCTTATCAAACATACAAATTACTAATTACTTAAATATATCATAGAATTGCACTTGTCTCTTTGCCATAAATGCAGTTGCAAATCCTTTATGATGAACCAGTTTTAATTAAGAAATTTAATATATTTTAAGCTCGTATTTCAGAGAATAATGTTTTTACAAGTCTTTTACGAAATCAGCCTCTTTCACGAATTAATTTAAAGTTTTTTATAAACACATTTTCTTGTATTAATATTTATGTGTGCGTGTGTTTCGTTCAGGCAACTACTGTTATAAGTTATTTATTAAACAACATCTTCTGTCTCAAATCGCATGTACTGAGTGTTATATGAAGCCTTAATACGCAAAAAAAAATATTTCTGAATAAATATGGCAATCGTACGTGTGCTGATCGAAAGATATTTGAGATTTGATTGAATGGACTTACAGTTTGAGACTTGCTTGGATTAGGATATTTCAAGTGGTTTCTTTAGTTCTGAAACAAACACTGGTTGCAGATAATTTCGTTTTCTATTCTACAGAAACAGAGAGAGAAAGAGACCTTCTGGGTAACAGAAATATCAAGTATCAATATATTCAAGGTTTTGTAAATTTTTTAAAGTTAAATTGACTGACAAGTTACTGCTGATCTGTGTTTGTGCAAACAAAATGAAATTCACGTACAGTAGAATGTGTTTTGAACTGAGAGAATGGAACAAAAAAGTTTTGACACAAGTTGATGCATAGGAAAGGCGGGTATTGTCTTGTAAAATCACACCTGTTCAACATGGCGTAAACAAGCACTTTCTTCCAAGTCCAGTGGAAAATTAGAACGACACACATGTTTAATTTCTCTCTCTTTTTTACATTGTTTTGCTTCTTCATTTTTCCATTTTAAATTACTCTCGTAAACATGAGTGAAAAACCAAAAAGTACATATGTAAGCTGTGTTATTTTGCAAACCAGGCATCGGAAGTCTTCCCACGTTCCACACGTCAGAGCTTGTAGACAAGTAATTTTTAAGGTAAGTAAAGGAAAGAAGAAATGAGACTTAAAATGGATACGTTGTCAGTGAGAAAAAAATAATAAGTGATGTAAAAAATAATTCAAGTTGTACAACAAAATATATATAATCCGAGATGGAAAGATTAGGGTTAAAAAGAACTGCGATGAGCGCAAGGGCAACAATATTTTGTCTAAGATTTGTCTACATAAAGAAATGTCTGATAAGGTTTGGATTTGTTTGTTTGTTCACCTGAACACCACCTTATACACACCATGGACTAAGTGGTCGATCAGGTCAGAGACTGCTACTGCTTAGTCACATCCGTTCTTAATTTTTATTGATTGTCACTCTTATTATGCACCCACAGCCGAAAGTGCGAAGCATGTTGATAGCACAACATCTCGAATCCGAGACTTTCGGATTTCCCATCCGACGCTAAGCATTAGGTCACGCTCGGGACCATTGGATTTAGAATAAATTTCAAATTTTCAAAGGAAATATTTATGAGAGAAAGCGATTAGAAGTAATGTTAATTTAAAGCGATTTTGTTATCTTGCATGTGGTCAGTCAATCGGTTTTTAGAACGTAACTACAGAATGATGGTGGTCATTGTAAACCTAATTGTGTAGTACATTTTTATAAAGTGTTCGTCCTGCATTATATTATTATTATTCCAACGTCAACTTTTAACAGTTTATTTTAACCGCTTTATTATGGTTTGGTTTTAATATGTTATATGATTTATATGGCTATAGCTTAAACTACGACCAAGTGGAAGACTGAATGTCCAAGTTAGATGTTACAAAGATGGTGAAGGTAAGTAAATATTGTCATCCTTTTGTTGACTAGGTATGTAATAAAATTTGATAAGAAACAACTGTCGTGGATTATCTGTGTTCATAGCACTTCATACCGATAACTTTACATTACTACTACTTAACCTCTCTCGCGTCTTCTGCAATTTGATGTTTTTTGTCTTCTTATGAGTTTATAGAAGGCCATAATTTTCTAAAAGAAAAAGTATTACTAGATATTCCTAACATTGATCTGAGCTTCTACTGTTAATGATTCATTAATTAATTAGTAATCTGTTAATCAGATCAAAATTCTAGTAAAGTTTTGCATTTGTAATTCATCTGCTTATTCTAAACTACACGATAAATTTTTGAAAAGTGAAGATTACAGATTTCACCATTTGTTATTGTAACTCTTTATTGTAATGCTGTTCTTTCGTTTGGTTGTTTCTTTGAATGTATTTGGTGAAAATAAGGTCAAGTGCAGTCTATGTAACTATAACAAATTAGTTTATTTCATCTTTAACGTTTCTACAAGATACCTTCGCTTGTACACTTTTGTAATTGTGGGCCTTAGTAACTTTACAAATGATATTCAAACGGAAATACCTGGTCAACAGTACTACTAATAAAAAATAAAAAAACCACTTGTACAATTTCACAGCTAATCGATTGGGCAACTGAATATACTCGATAACTAACACTAATCCAAACACTTCACTGAACTAACCTTACTGACTCACTGCAAACCGTTAACTACACTTGATTCAATGTTTTACTGAGTCTTATATTTATAATCTACTCTCGTCTCTCGATACTCCCCTAATTTACTTGATTCTTGACGTCATATTTAGAATATTCTGGGTATCCTAGACCTATTTGAATAAACGTTTCTATCTTAACGCCACGGGCCCTCTAGTTAACATCTAAATTTAAGCATTGAAAACATTTCTTACAACATCTGTATTCTCTCTGTTAAATAGCTTTACAAAGAAGCTACTTTCATGATAATCTTATTTTCATAACAAAAATACTTAAGGTAAAGAAAATTACAGTATTTCCTAAACAAATTTTAATCATGTGTGTAGTTAATTGGTAAAACTACATAAAACAAAACAGTGAAAATAAAAGTTACGGAGATTTAAATTTACCTTGCAAAACCATATATGAAAACTGAAAAGTTTAGGACAAAGATCACCTAGCAACGTTACATTAAGAACTGAGAATTTTAAAATTAAAGCCACTTAGCGATATCACGTGGAACGTCGTAAATATTAAGGTTAAAAATGCACAATACTAACATCACATATAGAACTGAAAGTTTTAGAGCTAAAAAATCTCCTAGCAGTGTCACATACTAGTGACAGTCTTAAGATCTATACAAGTTAACGTCAAATATAAAAGCAAGTGTTAGGACCTAAAACGCTAAACATCATATTTAAACTCAGAGCTTTACGATTAAAATCCACTTTGCAAAGCACACATAAAACTGAGGGTTTTGGAGGTGTAAACTACTTAGCAACACACATTTATAACCGAAACTGAAAGCCGTTTACCTGTTGACTAAAACGATTAAATAAGCGTTCTTTTCCCACTATAGTTCCTTTGTTAGAGGATGACCTAAGAACAAATAGTGGAATAGCAAGACGCCGTGGAGCTGTAAGACATCATAAGGTCCATGAAGTAAACGGTCACGAATTTATTGCTAAGTTTTTTCGACAGCCAACTTTTTGTGCATTTTGTAAAGACTTCATGTGGTAAGATGCCACTTGTGAAACATGATATAAATTTATGAAATTAGCTTTTAGGAATTTAAAAAAAAAACATGTACACATGCAGTTTTATATATATTCTAGATTTTAGGGGCTTCAGGCCTATTCCAAAACCAGATTAATTTAATGGCATCATATGTATAATTTAATAACTTGGAATAACATTTTTAGCAGTACAAACTCGTAAATTTACCGTTGCCATAGTTACCATGCAAATATAGATTAATTCTCCTCACGTTAGTAGAAGTCGAGTCTAATTTGAACCAACATAATATCAAGTAATCTTCAAACTTTACTTGTATTAGACGAGATTACTACGTTACCAAAATATTTTATTTTAATTATTATTCAAACATGTAACAATTATAAAGAAACTTTTACAGCCCCCCCCCACACACACAGTGGCACGGCAGTATGTCTGCAGACCTACAACGCAAGAAACCACGTTTCGATACCCGTTGTGGGCAGGGCACAAATAGCCATTGTGTAGCTTTGGGCTTAACTACAAGCAAACGAACAAGCTTTTGCGGAATATTTTAAGTTATCTGTGTAATATTCAGTAACATAACTTTAAATAGTAAATTAAAATCCAAGTTTGAGGGATACAATGTCATGTTTATTCAAGTGTATTTATAGTTAAGTATTTTTAATAATTTCTCTGGTAATTGATGATTTTAATTTACGCAAATTATAACTGTAAATTGTAAAAGGTGCAAAGCCTAACATTGAAGAAGATGTAAGCCTAACACTACATGTTGTTAGTACAAGGAAATATTTTATTAGTTTTAGAAACAGTTTTTTGTATACATTTTTGTGCAAGTTTCTTTTAAATATTTGACGTTGAAATTTTAATTGTTAGTTTACGTGGGAACTGATAGAGTCACGCTCAGTGAAAGTCTGTAAACTGGTTAAGGCCACTGTTAATTTAAATCAACCAACTTTAGATTGTTAATTTATTCTCGTAAAATACTTTTACGTATTTCGATCTGTAGACAAACAAATGATTTTGACAAAATAATGGAATGTTGCTTCCCCAGTTTTTTATTGTGCAATAATCCTATATTTAACTTGGCGAATTTACAAATAATATTAATTTTATACTCGTTTCAGGGGATTTGGAAAGCAAGGCTACCAGTGTAAAAGTAAGTTGTAAACAAAATTACTATATTTAAAACCCATTAAAAAAATACGTTATTTTATTATTTCGAGTTATAATATCCAGTGAGAAAAAAAAATACACTCTATAATCGTGAGTTCAAGATCAAAATTAATCGTTCTAAATTTGGCTTTATACAAATTCGTTTCACTGATGCCTAAAAAAGAACTTGATACAATGTGATTTGTTTCTTTCACTACAGCGTGTCAAGTGGCCGTCCACAAACGCTGTCATGATAAGTTCCTTGGAAAATGTCCTGGAGCAGGAAAGGAATCACAAAACACACTGGTAACTTATTTTTCTGGAATTTGAAATTGGATAAAAATTAAACATAAGACTGGTGAAAATTAACACAAGCTATTATTATTGTAAACGTATACAACCTATTATCACTGTAAGTTTACACAAATGATTATCAAAGTGAATCAACACATTGGGGACATGGTTGCATTATAAGACTGATGGTTAAATCCCACTATGCGATCAGACAAGAGAAGCCCAAGAGCTGATGGTGGTGGCTTTTGACTAATTGCCTTCCATCTACAGCATATTAGCTCAAAATTAGGAACAGTTGTGTGTAAATATTTCTTTATGTAGCTTTTTGTGAAACTCAAAACAAAAATATCTAAATTGTCAAGTTACAAAATATCCTAAGAAGGCATACAAGGATACTCAGCTCTTTTTCGAAGTATTTGTTTCAATGTTTGTGTTTTAAGATGTTAGTTAAATCTCCTGACAAATAAGGAGGTTTGTATCTTATCAGATGTTTTTTTATTTTTGTTTTACATTTCCTGTTTCTCACATGGTTGCCCTCTTTACATCAGTTTCTTGTATAAAGTTCCGCGAAGTTAGCAAGATAGCTAGAAATAAATTGGTCTAGAACGTTCAAAAGATAACTTATTCATTAAATATAGCATTTCTTCTCTAAAGAAAATACAAACTTTCTAGATATTTTCTTTGTATTGCGGTCGGTTATAGTCATAAGATCGCAGCTATGACACTCCATTTTTGCTGGGCCCAGCATGGCCAGGTGGTGAGGGCGCTCGACTCGAAATCTGTGGGTCGCTGGTTCGAATCCCCGTCACACCAAATATGCTCGCCCTTTCAGCCGTGGGGACGTTATAATGTGACGTTAAATCCCACTATTCGTTGGTAAAAGAGTAGCTCAATAGTTGGCGGTGGGTGATGATGACTAGCTGCCTTCCCTCTAATCTTACACTGCTAAATTAGGGACGGCTAGCGCAGATAGCCCTCGTGTAGCTTTGCGCGAAATTAAAACCAAACCAAACCATACTTTTGTAAAGAAATTCTCAAAAGTTATTTTTAAACTGTGCTAACATGCACTCTGGGGTAATCAGTACAACCACGGGTGTAGTTTTTTAAATGGCAAACCACTTTTGCCAGTTATTCCAAGCTCACACAAAAAATAGACAATTCTTAGCCTATTGTTTTTACCTCAATCTTCATGAATCGAGAACATAGCAAAGTTTTTTTAGTGTATAAATCTGTTAAATTTATCAATTTCTTCACTTCAGTTATTTAGGAATATTAACTTATTTTCATACAAAACACTCTTTAATCTAGCTTTGTTAAATAGCTTAGTCTAATTATATTTTGCATATGATTTCCAGTATCTGAGGGAGCGGTTTAAAATCAACGTCCCTCATCGCTTCAACGTTTATAATTACATGAGTCCTACCTTCTGTGATCACTGTGGTTCACTTCTTTATGGCCTGTTTCGCCAAGGTTTGAAATGTGATCGTGAGTAAAATGTTTTATTATGCTTTTCACTAGAAGTATATTAGGATACCTAAGCTGAATTTCAACTTATATGTGTCTGAGTATTCGTAGCAAAAAATAATGATTGGTGTTGTTTGGGATTACATAATATTAATTTCAGAAAATTAAAAATGAAAAAAAATGTTGATTTTCATTCAGCTCTCACAGAATCAACATTCATTTAGCTGTTCTTTTCAACAGTGCTTGAACTGTAACGATGATGTTAAGTATGTGAAATTTTCTATTGCATTCTATAATGATACATGCACAGATTTTTTTTCATTAGTTTCTATAGATAGGACTAATTTAAATATATATGTATAACTGTTACATAATTCTAATTGAAATTTCAATTTAATAAAGTATTTTCTATATTATACTTTCGTTCAATTTGGGAGTGATTGTAATTTACACATGTTGTTTATTATGGCTAAATATATTATTTTTAATCTGGCGTGACAAAAAAAAAAGAGTTTCATGAAAAGATTTCAGTGACAGAGTGACTGCAATATTTCACAGTAATAATGTTAAAATAATACCGGTGACAGTAATATTTCACGGAAATAATGTTCAAATAATATCTTGCTGTAACAGTAATATCTCACGGAAATAATGGGACTGTAATATCTCACGGAAATAATGTTCAAATAATATCTTGCGGTAACAGTAATATCTCACGGAAATAATGTTCAAATAATATCCTGCGGTAACAGTAATATCTCACGGAAATAATGTGACTGTAATATCTCACGGAAATAATGTTCAAATAATATCCTGCGGTAACAGTAATATCTCACGGAAATAATGTGACTGTAATATTTCATGGTAATAAGGTTCAAATAATATCTTGCTGTAACAGTAATATTTCACGGAAATAATGTGACTGTAATATTTCATGGAAATAATGTTCAAATAATATCTTGCGGTAACAGTAATATATAACGGAAATAATGTGACTGTAATATTTCATGGTAATAATGTTCAAATAATATCTTGCGGTAACAGTAATATTTCACGGCTATAGTATGACAGTAATATTTCATGGTAATAATGTTCAAATAATATCTTGCGGTAACAGTAATATATAACGCAAATAATGTGACTGTAATATTTCATGGTAATAATGTTCAAATAATATCCTGCGGTAACAGTAATATTTCACGGCTATAGTATGACAGTAATATTTCACGATGACAGTGTAAAAGTAGTGTTTTATAGTTGATATAAGAAGTTTAAGGAATGCTTAGTCTCCTGGGCTAGATAATATTTCCTCAATGATTTTGAAGGACGTTAAGCATTGGAAATGTGAGCCACTGCTACTATTTTTGTAAGTCCTAGAATAATGGGCAAGTGCCAGAGGGTTGGAAGCTGGCTAATGTTACTTCTTACTCTCTTTTCAGGGATGGGATAAAAATTGTCCAGGTAATTATAGGCCTATTATTCTGACATCAGTATTGGGAAACGTTTTTGAAAGTGTGATAAAAGATGCTTTGCACGCTAATTTAATAAACTTTAAAATCTGTTGGATAGTCAACATTGTTTTACTATGAGAAAATCTTGCCTTACTAATATTTTGACATTCTTTGAAGAAGTTACTGCTTATGTAGATGAATGTAAGAGTGTGGATTTGATGTATCTAGATTTTCAGAAAGAATTTGACAGGTACCACATGAAAGGCTTGTTGAAAAAATGATCTCTCTATGTACGAGGGGCGTACGTTAACTCATTGGATAGAAAAAAGGCTGAGTGGAAGAAAGCAGAGGGTTCTTAGAAATGGAGTTCAGTGAAACTGGATAAATATCACAAGTGGGGCACCTCAGGGCTCGGTGTTAGGTCCTATGCACTTATTGATTTAAATCAATGACGTAGATGAATGGATACTAAACACAAGTCTAAAGAAGTTATAATTTTATTGTATAGGTTACTAGTTATGCCATAATCAGAGTATTTATTACTCCTTACATTAGGAGGACGTTGGATTGTTCTGGGGTGGACTGAACTCTAACATTCTACCATGAAAAACGCTGAAAGGGGCCCACAGATTTCTCATAAAAATAACAAAAATACGTACCAAAGAAGCACGTGTAATTTAATCTTAAAACAAGAGGCATACATAATTCACACTATCAGTAATTTTGAGAACATAGAGAAGCCCTTCACGAGAGAATATTGTCAAGTAAATATTTTTTGATACACTTAATTATTGGTAGAAATAACACACATGTTACTTTAAATGTTAATATAATAGTAACAAATAAGTAATTATTTCACTATTGTGTTGACAGAGCATTAATCTATTTCTTTACGTGCTTTTTCAAGGGAGTCCACTGGTATTGTTCTCGGTGTTACGGTAAGCCAGGACGCACCTGGAATTGGTTCAAAAGAGTTTAGAGGGGGGGTATTAAGATGACACCTGGCATGGAAAGGTTGTCATACGAGGACAGGTTAAGATCTCTCAAATTGTGTCCTCTTGGAAAAAGAAGAGTTAGAGGGAATATTATTGAGGTTTTTTGAGGCTGTAAGGGAACTGATAATGTTGATACATCATTTCCTTCTTCTTCTTTTGTTTTACTTAATGGTGAGAATGGTATGGCTAGAAACAACTATAAATGTTGTTAGGGTAAGTCATTTTCAGCTAAGACAGTTTTATTTTTCTAACTGTGTTGTTGGTCTTTAGATTGGATGTCTTAGTATTTGGTGAGTAGTTTGGAGGGTATAGTCTTGATTAAATATTTGAATTGAA